ACAGCTCTTGGGTTGAAACTTGATATTAAAAGACGGGTGCTTCTCCATAGGCTCTTATTACCAACCTGCTCACATGATTAAGTGAAAGACACTTTATTTTGTTTGTGTGTCCACGATGCTGGGGCTTCAACTCAGGGCCTGGAACACTTTTATCCCTCAAGGCTTGTGCTTTAAAGAGCTTTAGCCACAGCTCCATTTCTGGCTTTTGTTGGTGGTGGTGGTGTGGTCATGGGGCTTGAACTCTGGACCTGGGCTCTGTCCCTCAGCTCTTCAGCTCAAGGCAAGCGCCCTACCACTTGAGCCACAGTGCCATTTCTGGTTTTCTGGTGATTTGTTGGAGATCAGAGACTCATGGATTTCCTGCCCGTGCTGGCAGGAACCCCGATCCTCAGATCTCAGCCCTCTGAGTAGCTAGGATTACCGGTGTGAGCCACCAGCGCCCAGCTCAAATCTTTTAAAAATGTTTTCTAATGAATCCATTGGGCTTATGTTTTCTTATCTAGAAAGCTGGATGGATGAGGGTGTGATTCCTTAGAGACTCATCAGAATTCCCCGTGGATTGAGCATCTACTGAGCATCTTGCCTGACTTTGTCTCTATCCCAGTGGGTTCACCATGATTTTTCCTTGCAGTACTCCAGCCATGTTTGGTAGCTCTTGACAGTGAGAAACAGTCCTGTCTTCTCTCTTGCTTGTCCATTTTTCAGTGTGTCAGCTCACGCATTCCTTTCTCTCCAATGGCTTATAAGTTATTTCTATCTTTTTTTTTTTTGTCTGAGATTGGGTCTTGAACTCAATATCTGAGGTTTTCTTTTGCTCATTGGCTGGTGAGCTACCACCTGAGCCATGCCTCTAATGCTTTATTATTATACTTAAGTATTTTGGAGCTCACAACATCCCAGATTTGACTGCTGCTTAGCCTCTCTAACCTGGATCCTATGTCATTTGACATCTGCTCCGGCCTTCTCTGGCATAAAGGGATATGCTAAGCTTATCTACGTTTCCCTGAGCCTCATTTGTACGCTTCTCTGATGAGCCTTGGCTTATTTTGGTGGGTATAGTGTTAGACGCCAAAGATCTGGGAACAGATGTATACATTGCTATTAGGGTGATTTTTAATTTATTTTTATTTTTTATTTTCTGTCAGTCGTGGAGCTTGAACTCTGGGCCTGGGCACTGTCCCTCCGCTCTTCAGCTCAAGGCTAGTGCTCTTATCACTTGAGCCACAGTGCTACTTCCAGTTTTTTGGTGGTTAATTGGAGATAAGAGTCTCACGGACTTTCCTGCCCAGGCTGGCTTTGAACCACAATCCTCAGATCTCAGCCTCCTGAGTAGCTAGGATTACAGGCGTGAGCCACCAGCGCCTGGGTAGGGTGATTATTTTTATACCTTCTCAAACAAAGCCAAGAAATATGTGTATCTGTGTTTGAACACACACAAATATATGTATATATGTATACACACCATCTATAACCTATGTGTGCATATAAACGTGTTTATATACATGCTTCTGTGCATATTTTAAGGATCAAGAGTTCCTACTCAATACCTCCACCTCCAATTGCAATACAGTAAGCAGGTCTGCCTTATTCATGAATTTGACCAAGCGTGGACAAAAATAGTAATGAAAAAAATCAAAAGAAATTTCAAACACAAGTGTGTGTGTGTGTGTGTGTGTGTGTGTGTGTGTGTGTGTACTGGTCCTGAGGCTTGAACTCAAGCTCTCTGAGCATTCTTTTTTTGTTGAAGACTAGTGCTCAACCACTTGGGCCACAGCTCCTCTTGCCATTTTCCAGTGGTTAATTGGAGATAAGAGTCTCTTGGACTTTCTTGCCTGGGCTGGCTATGAACAGCGATTCTCAGATCTCAGCCTCCTGAGTAGCTAGGATTACAAGTCTAAACTTCCAGCACCCATCTTGAACACACACACAAAAATAATCTCTACATGAATATTACATAATTCAGTTGATGTGTGGGGAAACTTGCCATCAATCCTGAGTTATCATCAGTTGCTTTTAGATTGTTGTGTAATCTGGTGTTTCCCTACCCTTAACTTTGTGAAAATACAATATGCCCCCCCCAAAAAAGCAGATGATGCCCCAAAAAGGCAAAGTAGAAGTTATAATAATCCTCCCAAGCCAATAAAGAATGCAATATGCTTCATTTAGATGACAAGGAGGATGTTTGAGATTTCTTGAAAGGTATTGTGTCTGTAGCAGAAGTAGATGGCATTGTGGGAAAAGAGCGTGAAATGAGATCTTGTGTTTGGTGAGCATTAGCAAATGGGCAACGGCCATTTTGTGTGACAATCATGTAGTTACTCCATGTAGTTTCAGTGATGAACACTTAGACCTACTTATACCTGTGTTATAGGTTAATCTGAGTGATTTTTAGAGTTCTAATCCTATACATGGGTTTTCAGTGCTGGTCTTGGAACCAAATATCCCTCCATATCAAGAGTTTACCACAGGCAGCTTTGGTAGAATGCTTGCCTTGCAGGCACACGAAGCCCTGGGTTCCAATCCTCAGTACCACAAACAGAAAACAATCCGAAAGTGGTGCTCTGGCTCAAGCAGTAGGGTGCTAACCTTGAGCAAAAGAAGCTCAGGGAAAGTGCCCAGGCCCTGAGTTCAAGCCCAGAACTGTCCAAAAAAAAAAAAAAAGAGTTTACTATATATGCACAGGATCTTTTTCTTGCCTCCCAGGTTCCCCTATTTGTATGCCCTTTGCTCCACAGTGACAACTCCCCCCACTCCACACACAACACACTCATTTGCACAATCATGAAAGACACTGAGATAGTGTCAGCATTGCTCCACACATACTCATCAATATGCCTGCTTAAACATTTTTTGATAGGATTTGTTTTCTGATCTTTCTCCTTTCCCATACCCATGTCAGTAACCCTTGAGAACGTGTTAGAAATCCTACTGAATCACAAACTCTGTGCTGGAGTCCAGGAATCTGTATTCTAATTGCCCTCCAAGTCACTCTGGTTCAGGTAAAGTTTGAGCAGCACTTCCCAAAATAGATAGCATAGATTGTTGAATGTGGTCCATCATCAGAGCAAGACACAGACATACTGCCTTCTCTCTCTCTCTCTCTCTCTCTCTCTGCCATCTAATTTAGACACTTGGACAAATGGAAAGGGATCTGTCTGTCTGTTGGTCTGTCAGCTGGTGCTAAAAGATCTCACCGCCAGACCCAAAGGGGGTCAAGTCAGTTGTAGAGCACCTTACAGTGTTTGGGAACCCTGTGTCCAGTTCTCAGTGCAGAGGGGTGGGGGAGGGGGAGATCACAGCCAAGAATCTGACCCTTCCCCTCCCCCACCCCACACACCTCTTACCCAATTTCCACTTTCATCAGAACCATAGAACAAAGCCTTCGGTGTCCAGGACTGAACATCCCGGCACCTCCGTGTCCACCCCAGACTTATGCACTGACTCTGAAAATCAGTCCTGCTGGGATTGTTCAGAGGAGGCAGCTTCATTCTGCAGAATTCACGTGTGATTTTAGAATAGAAGTTCTTCGGTTTTGTGTGTAGGAGGAATGCGTAGAGGCTGAATTGGTATCTTTGGCATAGGGTCTCATGTTTCTAGTGTTTTTCAGCTGGCTCCAATTTATAGTCAAAAGTAGAAACTGTGTGTGTGTGTGTGTGTGTGTGTGTGTGTGTGTGTGTGTGTGTGTGCCGGTCCTGGGGCTTGAACTCAGGGCATGAGCACTGTCCCTGAGATTTGTACTCAAGGTTAAGACTCTACCTCTTGAGCCACACCTCCACTACTGGCTTTGGTGTTTAATTGGAGAAAAGATGCTCACAGACTTTCCTGCCTGGGCTGGCTTCAAACCTTGATCCTCAGATCTCAGCCTCCCGAGTAGCTAGAATTACAGGCATGAGCATAAGAGTAAGAACTAGGGGCCACAGGTAACAGGACTTAAAGCCCAGAACCCAAGATCACACTATCACTGGCCTCAGAGCCAGCCCCAGGCTCTTCTGAAATCAAGTTCATCTAAGAATCCTTAATAGGTCAGGTGCTGGTGGCTCATGCCTCTACTCTAAGTTTCTCAGGAAGCCAAGATCTAAGGATTTTTGTTTGCGAGACTCTTACCTCCAATTAACCACCCAAAAAGCCAAAAGTGGAGCTGTGGCTCAAGTAGAAGAGCACCAGCCTTGAGTGGAAATCCAAGGAACAGCACATAGACCCCTGAGTTCAAGTCCCAGTACTAGGGCGCGCGCACACGCACGTGCGTACACACACACACACAGAACTTCACTTGGCTCACAATGTGCAGCTCCGTGTTCTAAGGGAACTGGGCATTTAATAAATACTTCCTTTGCAGCCTTTGCTTTATAAGGAGAGCAAGGTGTTCTCTGGGATATGCGATAAAAGGTATCATAAGGCCTCCACTGCCCGCAAAGTTCCCCCTTTGTTAATTGAGCTCACATGAATTCTGAGATGTTTACTCTGCTATTAAGGGCTAATCCAGGGATCTTTTTTTATTTTCTTTTGTTTTATTTGAGATGATGGTCTTGCTTAGTAGCCCAGACTGGCCTCCAATTCCTCATCCACTTAACTCTAACTCTCCAAGTGCTGGGATTACAGAGAGGCCCCAGCAGGGTCTACAGATTGGGAATGTTTTAAAGTGGGCACAATGGCTGGGCACCAGTGGCTCCTGCCTGTAATCCTAGCTACTCGGGAGGCTGAGATCTGAAGATCAAGGTTCAAAGCCAGCCCAGGCAGGAAAAGTCCATGAAACTCTTATCTCCAATAAACTACCAGAAAACTGGAAGTGGCACTGTGGCTCAAGTGGTAGAGCACTTGCCTTGAGCTGAAGAGTTCAGGGACAGTGCCCAGGCCCAGAGTTCAAGCCCCACGACCGACAAAAAAATAAAAAGGAAAACAGTGCCCTTGAGCTACAGATTCTATCGTCCCTTCCTGGACCTGCCCATCCCCCCCCCTCCCTGCCCCGAATCTGTTCTCACATGCTCTATGTCTCTTTGCAGCTTGCAAAAGGAAAGAACAAGAACACGGGAAGGATCGAGGCAATACACCCAAAAAGCCCCGGTTGGTCTTCACAGATGTGCAGCGACGAACTCTCCATGCAATATTCAAAGAAAACAAGCGTCCATCCAAAGAATTGCAAATCACCATTTCCCAGCAGCTGGGATTGGAGCTGAGCACCGTCAGCAACTTCTTCATGAACGCCAGGAGGAGGAGTCTGGACAAGTGGCAAGACGAGGGCAGTTCGAATTCAGGCAACTCATCTTCATCATCCAGCACTTGTACCAAAGCGTGAAGGAAGGAGACCCACAAACTCAAACCTCGGTGGAAAAGCTTTAAATCATAAGTAAGAAGAATAAATCTTTTTTTTTAATAAAAAAGACACAGGACCTCAAGATAGCAGGTTTATACTTAGAAATATTTGAAGATGAAAAGAAGGAGAGAGAAAAAAAAAGTGATATTTATAGTCCAAAGAAACCAAAGACTTAAGCTCATCTGCGTTCTGACTTTGTTCGGAGACACACACTTCAACGGGGGTGGGGTGGGGGTGAAGACTTGGCAAGAAGAACTGGAAACAGGGCAACCACTGGAGCGCACGCCTTCGGTCCACGATCATCCTCGCCGTGCTTGGCTAAGTAGGGGTTTGGAGCGCAGTGATTCTGAGCGATCGGGTGGACATCTTTGAAGATTGAACTTTCTCATCTGTTCCAAAGCACCATAAAAGTGGATGGTGTCTCAGTAAAGTGTGTGTGGGGGGGTGCGTGTGTACATGTACACACGCACACCACCACCACTACCACCACCACCATTACCAGTGGTTTGGGACTTAGGCAAGGCTGCTTTTCAGGAAGGGTTGTGCCAGAAGAGTACAACCACCGTGGCATGAGGCTGTCTGAGTCCATTGAATTGGGAGTATGGTTTTTGCTTGTCAGAGTCTAATGTTTGAACCTGCCAGGCTGGCAACCTATAGGGCAGATTCAAACCCAGGAAAGAAAATTTGAATGACGCCTAAACCAATGCATTCTCTTTGTTTGTTAAGAAATGTTCAGCTATTTTTTAAGAACTGAAACAAGAGCCCATCCATTAAAAAAAAAAACCCACCTAGGTACCAAAGACACACTTAATATTATAGTGCAGGTATTTTATCACAATGATTTTAATAACCAAAGCTATTTTTACACAAGATACTATGTAAAGTTATACGTATGAACTGCTCGAGCCGTAAGATACATGACACATAGATTCACAACTATTATTTATGACGCGTGAAGGCATTTGAAATATGAGTTTTTCAGAACTGGCAAGAAAGAATGTAGCTTCAGGGAAGCAACTAATATCATAACGTAGAGGTCAATATGATACACATGTACATCCAGACATATAGACAAATAGACATGATGCCATGGTCTGTTCATAGCTGAGAAAACCTTGGAACTCTTTCAAATTAGGACCCCTATTTATACACTACAAAGCTAAGTTAAACACAGCAAGATGTGACTAAATTAGACAATTTATTCAGAGTGATACTTTTTAAAATAAAAGACCATCCAATAAAAACTTAGACTAATTATGGCTTAAATTGGTTTTAAGCATTTGGTACCAAATACTTTTTTTTAAATTATAATACTTTAGGGACATAAGGCCAATATTGTTATTAAAATTAATTGTCCCATATTTTGTAGCCATCCTAAAAAAGAAATCAAGTTGATTTTATTGCCAATACTAGGCATTTTATAGGTTGGCCATCAATAAAACAGCAGGTTCTAAGAAATGGTAGAATTAGTGGCATCATATAAAAAAAAAAGCTAGAGTTCTAGTTGAGTGTATTTTGAATTTTCAACCAATCATTATAGTATGGTGTAGGCAGAATCTCACAGACTTTGGAATCTGTTGATAGTAAACAATTTATTTCACTAAGCATGCCTACATACTTTCTTGCTGTTGCATAAGCCTAGAAAGTTTATAACATTTATTCGTTTCTCTAACAGGGACAGATTTTTTTTTTAATGACTAGACCTGAGATTCCAAATTCAAAACTTTAAATTTCTATTATCCCAAATCACTTCACTGGAGCTATATAAATCAAAGCCAAAGAAAAAGGAAAAAGCAAGTACTAGTGGTACCCTAGTGACTAACTTGATATCAGATAACTTCTCTCTGAATTTACTGAGGTACCACCAGTAAAGAATTGGAGCTGGACACAAGTAGCTCATGCCTGTAATCCTAGCTACTCAGGAGGCTGAGATATGAGGACTGCAGTTCAAAGCCTGCCCAAAGAGGAAAGTCTATGAGACTCTTATCTCCAAATAGCTATCAAAGAAAAGCAAAAACCAGAAATGGAGCTGTGGCTCAAGTGGTAGAACACTAGCCTTGAGCACAAAAGCTCAAGGACAGTGCTCAGGCCCTGAGCTTAAGCCCCAGGATGGGCAGAAAAAAAAAAACAAAAAGAATTGGATACTCTTAATTACTGCACCTAATTACTACTAATTACTACACCAAAACACAAATACAAAACTAAAAATTATCCTAATAATAAGTCGTCTGTGGAGATTCACTAAAATGCCAATGGAAAGAACATCTTGAAACTATCTTGACCCAAAATATAACTGCTCAGCATCATATCTCAGCATCTTCTCCTCTAGATCCAAAATGAACAGGTATCTGGAGAGAAGAATCTAAGAATCGAAGGCCACAGCCATCTGTTTGTTTTTCCTTCCTGTCCCCTGAAGAGAGAGAAAAGAAACCTAACACACACATTTCCTTTCATGAAGAACTGCATTTGCCTTGATGTATTTTGACTGCATGGGTTTTTTTTTAAATTTCATTCAGAATTACACCTGAATTGTTTTTCCTCCTAAATATGGCACAATTATAGCTCAGCTATTAATAGACTGTTAAAATGGCCACCCTTCAAGATTTGCTAAATAGAAACTTACCAAGGACACAGACAAAAGAAAGGAAAAAAAACACCATTTTTCTCTCCCCACACTTGTGATGGGGTACAGGTCTATAATGGATTCATCATTTAGGAGGGAAGAATGCCTTACTTACTTGAAACAAGAGAATTTACATTACAGGGAAATCCAAGCTGTGTCTATATAGCTTACCAAATTGTAATACTCTATGAAACAAAAATTGAATTCAGACAACCACAGTTCTCTGGTTTTTCTTTTCTACATTACCCCCAATGATTATGTAGGCACAGTCTCAGTATATCTGTTTTAAACATTTAATCTTAAATATTTAAATGTGGTTTCTTTTAAATAACCAGTTTTACTACTTGCTACAACCAAAGATGATTTTCATACCAGCATCAAATTTGCACCCATATGTAATTTCAGGGCCCAGAAATGTATTTTCGCATAAACAGATGCACAAATCAGAGCCTGAGAAGCAATTTTTTTTTCTACTTGACTATTTAAGCATATTCACAACATTTGCTTTTAAGAAATCATTGTGGACAAACCCAGTTTCTCACAAGCAATCAATCCACTTGTCACATCATGTGTAACTGACTCTAGCCTGGCATGTAGAAAAAATGCTTCTGTTCTGTTCAGTGTAGTTTTATTGCTTATTGTTCCTGTTTTTTAACCTACTCCATGCAACAGTGTAGCTCATATGCTTACCATTCCTTAATCCTTTATCAAAATCCCCCTTTTAAAAAGTTCCCTCTTTTATCTAGATAATTGTTATATTCATGACAAGACTGTATGTACTTCCATTTTTACTTATTTATTTATTTAGAATCCGGAAGTTGGAACCATAAACCTGAGTCCTCTCCTACCTGGAAGTTTTCCTGAGAGAGGACTAAGAGGTATGAAATCCGGCTATTCCAAAAGTCAGACATCAGTGAATATTCAGATAAAAATACAGTTCTAGAGCTGGTCCCAGTGGCCTTTGCCTGTAATCCTAGCTATTCAGGAGGCTGAGACCTGAAGAACCTGGCTCAAAGCCAGCCCAGGCTGGCTCCAAGTAAGCACCAAACAAGCTAGAAGTAGAGCTGTAGCTCAAGTTGGTAGAGCACCAGCCTTGAGAACAACAACAACAAAAAACACTCAGGGACAGCACCCAGGCTCTGAGTTCAAGGCCCAGGACTAGCTAAATAAATAAATAAAGATAAAATGAGATAAAATAAAGCTCTGGTTGTCAGGAATTCCAATCCCAGGATGCAGCTGGAATAGATTCTAAAGACCAAAGAAAAATGTGTAGGAAATCCAGAAGTCTTAACTGAAAGATCCCTCATTGTGCCCACCCTTTAAAGGCATCATTCTTTATTCCAGAACAACCACAAAGCACTATGGTACCTCCAGACTCATTCATCTCATTGCTACCCTAGGTAAATCCCTTCCACCATACCCCATCTTTGCAGGTTAAATGAAACTTTACTATACCAAAGAGTCCTAGGACATAGTCACCAGAGCTATAAAGGCATTTTTTTCTTCCCTAAGAGAGGCCCCCCCTTCTTTGTAGGTAAACAATGAAAACTATGCATTTAACAAACAAAGAGAAAGCACTTCCTTTTCTAACAAAGTTGTTTAGGGTGCATTCAAATCCCAGAGGCTGCTTTTGGAGAGATGTTTGGCCTTCTGGAACATGACTGTGGTATGGTAACCTTTAACACTACCATTGGTAACTATTTCCTAAATAGTAAGAACAAAGAAGCAGAAGGTAAGAAATAGCGACTTCCATGTGTTGAGAAAAAAAAAAAAGAAAAGAAAAAAAAAAGAAAAGACAGAAAAGGAAAAAAAAAAGAAAAAAAAAGAAAAACATGGAAAAAAAAAGTGTAAAGATCTACTATTTATAGGGTGAACCAAAGACGCTACCTCACTAGATTTCCATTGGTGATTTTAATCACATTGATGATACCAAAGAATACCAAAGATATTTTTCCTGCACGGCATTGATCTGGAATGGGAACTCCACCCCTCCCCCTTCCCCTCCCCCACCTCCTCCCTCCTCAGTGTGGAACTTGTCTTCATTCTTAATAATGATACGATAATGGTCATTAGAAAATAACTCTTACGACTGCTAGTTCTTGTAAATCTCTAGGCAAACATGTTGCAGACTTTGTAAGAAAAAAAAAAAAAAACTCTTAGGATGAGTGCCTTGCTTGAACCAAAGTGTTAAACCGCTGTTGACCTCTCTTCTCCTTATACTCTGAATACCTCAGCCTCGTAGAAAGGCCACTAATGAAAAAAAAAAAAAAAAAAAAGGAATAATTATTCACCGTGGTGCTTTTTCCGTGCAACCATGCAATGAAACTTTCTTTGATACCAAAGGATGACTTCCTCTTCTCCCTTCCCCCAATTTCTTGCTGATAAACCAAAGCTCCTTCTCCTCC